AAATAAATAAATAAGAAATATATTTATATAAAATATAATTAATTAAAATAAGTTAAATAAAAAATAAAATAAGTTAATAAGTTAAATAAAATTTAAAGTTATGGTGTATGAAAAAATATTATATAATAGAACTAATTAAATTAATGTAAAAAAAATGTATATAAAGTAAATTAAAACAAAATTTATTTGATGAAAATAATACTAATAAAAATTTTCAAAACAAAATAAAGTAAGATAGAATTAAATATTACTTACTTACTTAATTAGCCGTTAACGACCCTTTATCGATTTTCGGTCCGAAAAAATTTTACTATTCCTGTGGTATCACAATAGTCGAATATTTGAACTCAAGTGGGCTCTCTTGGATATAGCGCCGCCACTCCAACCTGCCTACCTAATACGGGGTTTACATTACGAACTTTGCTTATGATTTTGAGCGGGAAGCCAGTTACTAAGCCTGACTTTGTCAATACGCACAATAAATTTCGAACTTTAACTTAAAGTTAGCTTTATTTAATACCTTTTCCTAAATACAGTGTTGAAAATAATGCGTAAGCAATATGTTTTTGGTGCTAAAATAGGGAAAGTACAGTTTTCATTGCTCGATTTTTAAAATAATATATCGCTAGTGCCAAGGTACATTAAGACCGAAAAGTTTTCGGAAATTCTCATTTAAAATTCGCGCGCTGTATATTTTCCGATATTTTAAGTGTAGTTTGGCAGCACTGTCCTTAATTACTATGCCAAAAATGAGCGCGATCTGTCAGACAGTTCGTTTACGGCAGCTGTTGAAACCAGTTCACCTCAGTAGGGCGTTGCGAAAAAAACAATGGAAAAAAATATTGAACAAAGAGTTTGCATCAAATTTTGTGTTTCGAACGAAATTTCGTGTGCAGAATCGTTGCGAATGCTACAAAAGGCTTATGGGGAATCAGTTTTATCGAAAACTCAAGTTTATGAGTGGTACAAAGCCTTCCAGGACGGTCGTACGACCGTCGAAGACATTTCGCAACGCACTACTGAGGTGAACTGGTTTCAACAGCTGCCGTAAACGAACTGTCTGACAGATCGAGCTCATTTTTGGCATAGTAATTAAGGACAGTGCTGCCAAACTACATAAACTTAAAATATCGAAAAATATACAGCGCGCGAATTTTAAATGAGAATTTCCGAAAACTTTTCAGTCTTAATGTATAGTACATTCACACTGTTTCATTTATGCGGTTTTACTCATTATAGTCACTAAAAAAGATGATTTACAAAAATCTTTTATATAAATGAGCTCATTATCAATTAATCAACTGATTTAAGGGGAAAAATGCCAAATGGAACCTTTAAAACTATATTTCCCACAAGGGAAATTACCAAAATTTGAAATATGTGTCATATGTTTTATATATAAAATGTAAACAAACAAGAAGTATTTAATAAAATTTTAGTTTTTATTAATTGAGTATATGTAATTGATATATAAAATGTATATAAATGAGTTAATATATTAATTATAAATTTAATTTTTTTTTGTGATACATTATTAAGAGAAGCTTATAAAAGTTCTATCAGCTGTAGAAATGAGGTAATTATGATGACAGTGTGTACTATTAGAAACGTTGCTGTGGAAACTGGGTTGTTTTTTATGAATAAATTTTAAAAATAATTTATTTGTTGAGTTTTTTTAGAGATATTTAATATTTAAGTTATATGATGATATGATATTTATTTATTCTATTTCTAGAGCATATTTTCTATACTATCTTTTTTTTAAGACTTCAATTTTCAAAAGCTTGACTTTAACTTAAAACTTTGCAAAATTATACTACTCTATTTTTACTACTCTGTTTTTTATTGCCGATGATAACTTAATTAATTTTTTATTAGCAGTATTTGTCCGCAAATTGGACCTGTTTTTTTCAGTAAACTTTTTGGAAGAATCCATATTTGCCAATTTTTTTTTCGTATTATTTAAAAATGCGCATCAAAGATCTAATTTTAATACATAAATCCAAAAATTTTGCAAAATTCTATAAATATTATGCTTTTTTGTTTAGTTTATTTATTTCTTTTTAAAAAACAATAAATCTTTTAATATTTATTTATAAGTAAGAACCCAGGTTTCCATAATAACATCTCTAGCTATACGCTTATCTATATATTAAAAAAAACCAACAGTTGTTAAAATGGAAACCCGAAACGATAATGTAAACGTTAGACGTTTAGGAATAAATTTTACCAAATTCGTTCACTAAAATGCGTAATGTAAACGTAGTATTGTGAATAGTATTTTTTTTTTTTTTTTGCGGCAAGGAGGAGTGGAATGCCTACGCACTGACCACAAACTGGCGCCCCGGAATTGTCCTACAGTCTACTTTTTTCAATTGTGAATAGTAGTAATAGTAATAGCAGTAGGTAGTAGTAGTAGTAGTACTAGTAGTAGTAGCAGTAATAATAATAGTATCAGCAGTCATAGTAATAGTTTTTCTTTTCTAAAATCTATTACATTTAAATTTTTACGTATAAATGGCAGAAAATATGGATAGTTTCAATGACAACAATGACCTCGTGTCATCAACATTAATATATAGTTGAAGAAATATAATAAAATTAGATTTGTGTAAAATATTGACTATATAGTAGTTATAAGTAAAAAATATGCACTACATTAAATAATAATATTAATAAAATAATAATAATAATAACAAAATAATAAAATTTCTTTTCTAAATTGTCACAACTCTTTGAGGAACCTCATAAAGTGCTGCTCGTTCTATTTATTAAAATGAAGATTAATGTGGAGATTTTCTTATCTGTAATATTCGTCTGGAAATAATTCACTTTTATTACAATATAATCTTTTAATTCCCTGTAGCATTGGGCAACGTGAAACAAAGTGGATGATCTGTTCTTATTTTCTCATGTTACACAGTGTGCATCGGCTGTTGTTTATTATGGTATAAATATAGTAGTTTCACCTTAATACTTCGGTAACTATGTCTCCCATAATCACATCTATCCCATCCACAGACAGTTTCATCTCTCTCATCCCTTCATTTTATACAACCGACAGATCTGGGTTTCTAAAAAGTCAATTTGATTGCGATAGTTTCTTAAATTGGAGAGAGTCTTGTCAGAAACTTTATTAGTGTAAAAGTCTATTTGAGATTACCTTGGATGGATTAACTAATCTTCTAGCCGCATATATTTAGCCTATATAGTTCACACAGTAATTTTTTAATAGAGAACGATTCCAGTACATGATGTTCTCCATAATGTGCTTTTAAATTTATAAAAAGGAATATATTTATTTTATCAACATTTGATATGACAAAATATTTTTAACGATTATTATAATTTATTTGCTAAATTAATAAATAAAATAATAAATGAAAAATCATTGACTTATGCAATTGAGGCAAACATTAAAAATATATTTAGCTTTCTATGCTTTCTATTTTCGAACTCCTTTTTCCATTCGGTTCTTGAATCATTTCCTGAATTTATGCTATTTAGTTAAAACTCACCCTGTATATTCTACTTTAGTTTCAAAATAAAATAAATTAAGCGAAACATAAAAATTACCAACTCTATTAGCTTAAATGTACATTCGATAAAAACTTCCTAACATAAATAATACATTAATATCACAACATTAACTATATGTGTGGGTCAGTATCAAACAGTATCAAAGCTTTAAGTATACTATTTTACCCTTAGGATAAATAAACTTTATCGATTAACTATTATGAATATAGTTTGAATTCAAAATGTATAAGCAATATTTCAACTTAAAACTCCATATGATGGCATTAAGAATTTAAAGATTTAGAATTTAATATATTTTGTATAATATAATATTTTTTATTTGGATACTATCAAGCTCTTATCCATAAAATATGAAATATTTTTCAGCGCCATGACAGTCATAATATTGTGGTAGGTTCGAGACTGGAATTTTTAAAGTAAATTAACTAAATTTTCATTGTTTAATTGCTTGTTTCATTTCGTAATATATTTCAATATAGAACATATATATACGTACATATATATGTGTATATAAATATATAATATATTTAATATTAAAAATTAAACGTGCTTTTATCTATTTAATCGAAATAATTTAATCTTATCTAAATATAAACACAAATATTAGTTAATAGAACAATAAAACAGAATCAAATAAGTAATCCAGAATAAAATAATTCTAAATAATAGTAATAAAAATAAAATACGATCCGTATAAGTAAAACCTACTTACATATTTCGCTTACATATTTCATTTAAAATAATGTTACTCATACGCCTAGTGACCCTTCACAACAAAGACGTGTAATTGTTAATTTTTGAAATAAACTTTAAATTTTTATATATATATAAAACCATTGATTTAGTGTAATTTTTCTTTAAATTCGGCTATTCTCAAAATAAATTAAACAGTGATTATACAGGTTATTAATTTTGTGGTTCCAAAAGTAAAGAAAAATGACACATACTTATGTATGATTCGGATTTTGATTAAATTTTTATTAAATGTAAAATACAATATTATTTACATGTTCTCCAAAGAATATTTTACAATATTTATTTTCTATATATTTTTATTTGTATTTTTACTGTATATATTTACAGATCCTTATAAAATAATTTTCGATGATTAGTTGCCAATTGGTTGTCTCATTTTGTGAGTACTGAGAGTGTGGGTATTATCTATATTAACACGATTCTCTGTGCAACCTCATAAGAAAGGCCAGAGACAACTCCATGATCTTGGTAGTCAATTCACATTACCAAAACGTGAAATTATACATCCGGTAAATTTCTGACACAACTTATCCAAAATAAAATGTGTTAAATAACTTGTGTGACCGTACTTTTAATACCACACATATTCCC